GTTATCAAAGTCATCTTCGTCATCGCTTTCTATCCGGTAGCAGTGCTTCTTGGTGTTGTCTTGAGGAGCTTGTGGTGCTGGCAGCTTATTTGCAGGAGCGGGGTTTTCTGCGTCATCGTTAGCATTTTCGCAGTTGTCTTCGTCATCTGTTTCGATTCGATTGAGCCGCTTGCGGACAGGCCTCCCTTCATCTTCCTCATCCTCTCCTTCTTCCTCAGAGTAGTCGTCTGTACTTCGCCGACGTTTTCGAATCAATCGCTTTGACTCCTTTGTGGATTCATCATCTTCAGAGTTCTTAGATGTGTAGCTCTCTGGAATAAGCAGCAGACTTAAAGCCGTTAGCAAATTCAAGTGCAACCAAAACAACTACAATTTTTATTTTTCATCTTTCATACTCATTAAAAAGCCATCTCTCTCTCTCACCACATACATTTCCCTCTCCTTCCCCAGGTTCCCCAACCATGTCAACACGCTTACATTCTTTTTACTTTTTAAATAAACCGCTCAAGTAGCAAAGACCAACAATTTGTTGACATTCTGTTTCCAGGCTGAGGAGTGCCAGAGGCTTTGGAGGCAGGTGTATTCCCCGCCAAAAGTGTTAACTGTGTGCCGGGAATAACGCAGAACTGTATCCCTAATCTCACACCTTACACCCTTCCAGAAACTCAGATCCCAAATAATGGCTGCACTATCATAACACGATATACACACACACAACTGTACTATACCTGCACCGCCCCCAAATTATATACAACTTCTTCCAAAGCATATGAACTATCACCTAATTGTCACCTGACGTTTGCTGCCCTTTAATGAGAAGCTTTTTTTTTTTTTAAAAAAAAAAAACCAAAACAAAACGGAGCATTTCCTACACACCGACAGCTTTTATGCTGCCCCTTGATGACTTAGGTGAAAAAAGACGGAGACAGAAAAATCAAATGGCAAACACCATTTGCCGTCTCCTTGTGTTTTCCATTAGAAATGCATGTGAATTGACATTTTAAAGGGTATTATTTAATGTAGGTTCACGCTGATAGAGACTTTGTCAGAGTTCCTGTATTTTCAACATAATTACATTTCCAGTAACGCTGTTACATATTTTATAACACACTGTGGGAACTGTGGGAGAGTACTGGAATGGTCCTAAATAGTGTTGATTTTAATATGCAAAAAGCCAGTACCAAAAATACCTGAGGAAATGGGATTTCATGGAGAAAAGACACCGTCAGTCAGGCACTGTTTGATGTCACAAGCACGGGCAGCAAAAAACTCAGCCACCACATAGCAGATTCTTAGTACAGAGCCTATACATCGTACTTCTGAGAAGAGACTGTATTGAAGTATAAGATGACATTTTCGATATGCTACAGGGTTGCATTACCTACTTGTTTCCCTTCATCTAAGAGGATCCTCTAACACTCTGTAAACTCAGGTCAGCACTTCCAAAACTTACCTATTAATCATAGAATCATAGAATGGTTTAGGTTGGAAAGAACCTTGAAGATCATCGAGTTCCAACCCCCCTGCCATGGGCAGGGACACCTCCCACCACACCAGGTTGCCCAAGGCCACGTCCAGCCTGGCCTTGAACACCTCCAGGGACGGGGCCTCAACAACCTCTCTGGGCAACCTGTTCCAGTGCCTCACCACCCTCAAAGTGAAAAACTTCTTCCTAATGTTTAATCTAAACCTGCCCTCTTCCAGTTTATAGCCATTCCCCCTCGTCCTGTCACTACATGCCCCAGTAAAAAGTCCTTCCCCAGCTCTCCTGGAGCCCCTTTAGGTACTGGAAGGCCGCAATAGGAGAGGTGCTCCAGCCCTCGGATAATCCTCATGGCTCTCCTCTGGACACACTCCAGCAGGTCCATGTCCTTCTTATGTTGAGGACTCCAGAGCTGGATGCAGTACTCCACGTGGGGTCTCACGGGACTGGAGAGACAGAATCACCTCCCTTGACCTGCTGGCCACACTTCTTTTGATGCAGCCCAGGATGCGGTTGGCCTTCTGGGCTGCGATTGCACATTGCTGGCTCATGTTGAGCTTCTCGTCAATCAGCACGCCTGTCAAGCGCGGCCAATTTTCTGAGGAAGCCTGGCATCCATTGCAACCCATAATGCTCAGCGTCTCCCAATACCGCACCTAAGGTCTCATAAGCTGGGCGCCCAGAATGCAAAGCACCCCGAGTCAACGGTCGCTTTTGTAAAAGCTGATTTTACACCAAAATGCACACGCTCACTCATGGCGCGGCTGACATTACTGAGAGCAGAATTCCTCTGAACTTATCACAGCTCCTTCAAACAGGAGATTGAATGAGTCTTGACCACCAGCACAAATATCATTAGGGCACCAGAAGACATACCTTTTCTCTTACAAAAGAGAATCTTTAAAGACTCATGGGATGAAGCTTTGTGACCTCTTAACAGAAAAGTGGTGAAACAGTTACATTTAGTGCTAATTTTGGAATCCCAGCACTCTGTACCGGACACAATAAAGTCAGCATTAGGGACAACGATGACTTTGAGAAGTGAGTGTAACAGTGTATTATGAAGTACCACTGGACTTTCAGAAGCAAACAGTTTCAGTGAAACACTAAGGAACTCTAGAACGAAGATTCTCCGAAATCTCTGAATTATATACAGTTTTCTCTTCATGCTAACGCTGACATATACCAGCTCCTGCAAATGGTGGACTGTTTGTTTTACCTTCACTATCTGAAGTGGAGAGCCTGCGTTTATGAACTCTTCTTAACTCCTTCCCATATCGGACACTTTTCTGTGAGCCATCACTTTCTGAATCTTCTTTATAATTAACTTGTCTCTTCTGATTCCGTCTTGATCTTCTCCTCCTAGTTTCCAGGTAATCATCATCGCTGTAATCTGTGTAATCACCACTCTCTGTACAGAAGGAAACAGTGACGTGCGTTATTCCATTAAACCAAAACTGAAAAATTTAGATAAGCTTTAGACCAACACCAGTCAAATCATGCACTCTTCCAGCACCGGAGAGTCTCAACCATCGTTACCCTGACATGTTCCAGACGGATCAGTTCCCCCATTCATTGCCAGCGTAGAATTGTTTGATTTTAAAATCTTCTCACAAACGATTTTCCTGTCTCCCTCAAATCCTCCAGGTTTCCTTCCAGTGTTTCTGTTCCCTCATCTCTGCTGGTGCCAAAGATGCCTCCTCTACAATCCCTGACAGCTGAAACAACCTTACTGAACTGGAGTCAGTGATGCACATTACCACTGATGCTGGAAAGTCCTTTCTGGTTTTAAAATTTAAATAAATTGTACTCTACTCAAACACTTTTAAGAATACGTAAATGAAAAATCACTGACATGATGCAACTTCAGGTAAGATCTGAGTTACAGAATTTAAATTAACAACAAAAATCAGTCTCACTCGATTGTCAGTTTGCTTAAAACAGAAACTGTATAGAAGAAACTTACCATAATTCACAGTTCTTCCTGCACCAATCTACTGCAGCTGGTGTCTTTAAGAATTAGATTTATTTACATCAGCTGAAAACAGCCTTGAATCAACTTTAGCTGCTTTTTCACTGAGTTGTGCCAGAACAATTATCCCAAGACACATTTCTATACATGTCACATACTGTTCCTAAGTTAGTGATTGACATGAGTCACAGACCAAAGTGGCATCCTCTTTACTTCCTAAAATATTAGAGAAAGAATCAGAGCAAGTCAACAAGAACAACCACCTTCGGAAAGGAACTCCACCTCTGGAGACTGAGAACAGTATTAGTCCTTAGCTCAAAATAGGGTTAAAGCAGGATCCTGAGGGACAGTAACGGGGTTAAAAGAGAGACACACATAGTTAAGACTACATATACTCTTAGATATATATGGAATGATACTGGAATCAGCTGATTTTATCACAGATGTGCGTCCACAGGAAACAAATGTTGCTCCTGCGCATTATAGAATAGATGAGCAATCTCTTTAGACTTCTGCCAGTATCTTCATTGATAACAGCTTACAATTAGTGCAATGATGCATTCAGGAGAGGGAGACAGCAACTATTTTAAGTGTCTATAGCTGTCTTCATCTCTCCATGCATGAACCCTCCTTTTGGAAACGAGTACTTCAAAAGCACATGTTCACCATCTATATTCTAGAGAGACAGATAAAATACTGGAAAGTTAACACACGCTGCAATAAGTTAACACCCCAGTGTACTTAGTACCTTAAATTCACAATAAAAATAAGTAAAAATAAGTGCTTATATATCTGGCACTTTCTAGGACTGGGTCTCAAATGAAGCAGAAACAAGGAGGGCACTCGAGAGAAAGATGCTAATTATTAAAAGGTTTAAGTATCGCATAGGTACTATTCTCACACTTCCAACTGTGCTTAACAGAAAATGAACTGGCTGAAGGACAAGTAGAATAAAGTGAATTATTAGGTTTCTCCTGGGATGCAAGAGTCCCCAGTTACTACAGATCAAAAAGGGGTAATCGTAGAAGAGAGAGATTCAAGGTGTTATCATTTGCTTTCAAGCCTGCCAGAGAACACAGAATGCCATACACCTGAAAGAATTTTCTTCCATACAAAGTGAGGGAAAATGTCTCTTTCAGAAGCTTTTTCAAAGGTATAAGGAAGGTCTTCAAGTAGCTATAAAGAAGTACATTTTTGCCTCCATCCTTTTTCTTCTCTGCAATCATGTGCCAAACCGGAAGGCACAGGGTAGCTGAAACTATCGACAAAGGTGGCCTTTTGAATCATAGCACAAGCATTCATTTAAATACATAATTACTTAAAATGCCTAGAACCTAGTACTCAACACCAACTTCCTGCAGAATATTCACAGCAGAACAAGTAGCAAACTGCTTTTACAGCAAAGGTGACATCTGAATTGACCAAAGCAAGTGAACAAGTTAGTGTCAGTCGTGACAGGAAACTCAGACTTGTCCAGTACAGCGTATTTAATATATCTGTGACTTCTTACACTCACCAGATTCTCTGCTTGAATTGTCCTCAGAATCTTCATCTTCGTCATCTTCAGAATATTTTTTCTTGACTGTTTTCCTTCGTAACCGCCTGCTTTGCCTCATGGGCCTGGAGAGGTGTCGCCTGGATATGCGGGCACAGAATTCTGAATCGCTGTCTTCGTTTGACGGTGGGTCATCTTCACTTTCATCCAGATTTTCCTCAGATATAACAAACTCGTCCTGAGATCTGTTGAAAGAGAGACCACAGACAACAGAGATAGATATCGGAAACAAAGGACTGCACCAGTACTTGCATTTTACAAGCAATATATACAAAATAAGTATTGACTTACACAAAATACGACACAAATCTTAGAGTAATACTGCAGAGCGAAGATCCAGAGAGAGCAAACTGCCATCCCTGACATTAGGTTTCAGTTGTATACTTGGGATATCGCTTTACAGTGCATTACACAGCAGATTACAACAGCAGGTGAACATAAACTGCCAAACTGAGACTGCAGGTGACATTTTACATAGGACAGATTCTACAGTGTTCATATAGTACACTGCAGTGTAACATCTGCAGAGCAGTAACTATGGATGAGCGTGACCTGTGGAGGGGAAAAAAACCCCACCCAGCATATTCCGGTAGAGATGACCTCCCCTTCACGAACCAAGCACTGTCCTACACAATTTCTGAGAATCAGAATATCGTGTCTTCACACAAAATTGTTGCTCTCATGCAAAATATGCATCTCTCAGACTTATCACCTTGTAACACTGCTGTCACGTCAAAAGCGAGCCAATGCTTTTTTTAAAAATCGTTGAGGTTGAGCACTGAAGGTACACTGTCACTTGCCACCAGCTAAATGTCATTTCCAGTTTAACATCCAGAAGGCATTCAGCAGAGGATGGAGTTGAAAATGCATGAGCACACTTTAACAGATCAATGCGTTATTAATTCTGTGAGATTTCCGCAAGCTAAAGGCATCGATTGGAAATTTCCAGCACGTTTAGCTCAACTATTCAGGGTGCCACTGAAACGGCCTCAGCCTGGTCACAGGTGAAAAACAAAGCTCAAAATTTGCATCTGTGTTGTATAGATTATCTGTACACTTAGTAAATTGGCTCAGTGACTGCTGTAAAGCTTTAAATGTTGATCGTAAAGAGCTCAGACTTCATGCTCCATTATGGCATAAAGGACGTCTAAAATTATTAAATTTTTTAACTTTAGAAATTCCCCAGACTGAACGATGAGAAATTCCATGGAAAGAGAGTTTCAGTTAGCCAGAGCAATACTCATTCAGTGTTTAAAGCTCCACATGACATGTATTTGTTTTCTACACTACAAGCCGCTTCTTTGGCTGTTTTGAAACACTATCTCCTAGAGAGCAGAAATCAAGAACTGAATTCAGAACCTGCACGTCAAGTTCTGTATGCTCTAAATGAGGGCATTTTACTCTTCCAATTTCTAAATGACAATCAGGCCCAATAAAAAGCGCACAAAATAGGACATATTTTCAAAACGAAACAACCAGCCTCGGATTAGGTACATCTTTGTTACAGATTTCTGCTAGACAGTCACATCAGTCAGGGAACTGAGCCCATCTGGCTCCTTCACTAACATAACCGCGTTCAGAACCCCACAACGTGGCCTCAAACATACCAGTACCATTTCCAGAACGTGTTTTGCTTGAAATACAGATTGAATGATTGCAGCGCATGGATGTGGAGCGCAGTTTTTCCAGTACAATGACATTCCCCTAGGCTGGAAGGACTTTTGGTGGCGCCGTGCAGTGATGTTCCAGCACTGGGCACATGCTCCTAATGACCGTTTCAGGGGCACCGCAGCATCACAGAGGCCTGTAGCAGTCTGTGACTTGCGGTGGAAGTTAAATTGCAGACCTACCCGTCACTGATCTTGAATTCATCCTCACTCTCTTCTTCATCCAAATTACTGTCACTGTCCAAGTCATTTAGTCGCCGTCGTTTCTTGCGTCGTGCTGCAGCAGCCCTTTGTGGTCGTTTGTTTTCTTTCCTTTCTTCCTCGAGGATTGTGGAAATGTCTTTTCCACGATGACCTGTGATATTAGACATGTCTTTGCCTCTGCCAATGCCTGAATTCAGTGATAGAAAGGGGAAAAAAAAGAGGAAGTTTATTTTTTGTTTAACTTTATATGTATATCTCTTCCATGCCTCTAGCTTCAGTTTATTTTCTGTAAAGCAGAGTATTTTCATGTCATGCAAGACTCTGTCTGGAGTCTTGTTGCTGACACTGTCCCCCCGCCCCAGCTTTGGTCACCTGGAAATACACGTGGTCCATGTAGAAGAGAGCAGAGAAGCGTCAGCCCCAACCCACATTATTACCAACACTAGTGCCTTTTGAGTAGGGCAGGTATCAGAAAATACATCTTCTCCATAATGCTGAAAATCTTTCTTGGGAGATGAAGTGTTTATGTTGCTGTTTGGCCAAGGAGTGGAGTTTCTGGTTTTACTGGTTGCCTTTGTTGTGTTCATTATATGGGTCTTGTGTGACGCACCCACAGACACCCAATTTTCAGATTATCCGTGTACATCCATGGAGCTTCTGAAAGCCGGTGTCTTTATGGAGGTGCCAAAAGCCAAACAGCTGAGGGAGAATGTTTCATGGAGGTTTTCTCCAGGCAAGTTAAGGTGATGAAGAAGCACAAACCCATCTACATCTCTCAGATACTGCTGAAGATCTCTCCTTTGGTCCCCACGTTGCCCTAACAGGCACCAAAGACCGTAATTTCACTTTATTCACATTCAGCTGAGAAGTGCTTGTAGATCTGGATTAATATTTTTAAGACGACTTTGTGGACCCAGTCCTTAGGGGGTCCAACTGCAGACCCATTCAGGAGCCAAATTTTTACAGGGGACAAATGTCAATAGCACCAGCTGCCATTCCAATCTCAAATCCAAAACTTAGCATACGGATTTTAAGAGTTTTCTTGTCCTGCTTATTCATTGCATTCCTATATCAAAACATGTAAAAGCTGAATTTAACTATCAAGACCAAATACTTTTGGGCATCTTTTGGCCATTCCCAAGGGAAATTATTTAGTTTGATTCCAAAAATACAGCAGGAAAAACTGCAGACCACAAAGTTTAAGGGAGAGGATTATATTTGTTGCTTCTCATATCAAAATAAATTTGGTCTCAATCTTCTTACCACTGTTGCAATGAAAAACAAGTAACAGCAGAAACGTACCTCCTCCATCAGCCTCCTTGATATCATCTTCAATTGCCTCATCAATTGCCTCATCAAATTCATCAAACCTAAAAGTAACAGCTTTCATTTACCACTTTGAAGTGAACCCTAATTAAATTATATCATGAAAACATACCTCCAAATCTAAAACTGCTCTAAGAAATCACACTGCACAGACAATGAGCTGGATATATAATAAAATAACAAAGATAATAGGTTGGATGGATGATAAAGTAGTCATTTTTCTAAAAGGTGTGTTTCTTATTTCTACTTGCTAGCAGATTATTTATCATTGCCTGGCTGTCTTACTATTGATTTATGTGAACAGAAAACCACTTTCACTTTACATGACATACCACTGAATTTAGCAATATATAATTTGAAAGCTCTTAAAGATGGTCTCAGTGGCTTTTTTCCACACAAAGCATTAGTCATTTTTTCCCACACCTTTTATTAGATGACATACACACTACCAATCTGCAAAACAGACTTTCTGAAAAGCACCTATTAAAGTCAAATTATTCATCCTGTCTAATTTTTCTTTGAAAACTTATTTCAGATAGCTTGTTTCTCCTCTAAAGCTCATGGTAATTATATTTTATGAATCTGCAACATCCTAAGCTGAATAGATAAAACATACTGTACACAGTAGAGACAAATACAGACATATACAGATAAGCTGTAATGTAATGTTACATAGCCGAACAGGACAAACAAAAGTAAAATATTTGAGTATGTTTGTCCTGCAATAGCTTTTCTAAGACTATGGAAGTCTCTGCACCCTGAGCAACTCATTTAAAGGGGAGAGCAAATGGAGGGAAAAGGATCCAGCCCTTTTCCACAGACGACTTCAGTTTGTTTCTTCAGTTATGAATTCCAATCCCGTAAAAAAGGATTATTACCTGTATCACCAAATAGATGCTTTGAGATGTAACATGCAAAAGTACGTATTTTATTAACTATATAGGAAAGACATTTTATTTAGATGCTAGTTTTAATTCCTCTCATTTTATAAAAATTGGGGGGTTTGGTATGTTTTTTTTAAATACAAATAAGTAACAATTGGACAATACGTTCATTAAAGATTCAGTTTCTCAGCCACAGAAGAAAGATTACAGTTGTATTTATCCTGGTGCTCCACAGGAACCTCCAGCAGAACAAGAAAAGAATAGATCTAATATTACTCTGTATTCCAATAGCAAGCATAAACCACTTTCTCCTTTAAAAATAAGGTGATGGATTTCTGGTCCCTTTATATTCCCTAAGAACGACTGCACGTCACGTTCAAGGCAGCTTCACACAGCACGGCAATAACTCTGAAATTATTCCATCAATAAGATTAGTTCCACATTACTCAAACACTATTTTCCCTCCACACCACTAAAAAAAAAAAAACCCACCTCTTTAAAATGTGAGAAATCACTTAACGCTTTCAAATCACCGCTACCAAATAACCTGAGCTCAAACATGAGCTGACAGCTGCTTGTCTGTTAGGTGTAATGGAAGAGAATTTCTTCTGCTGCTGCTTTATTCAGAATGCAGATTTCTGCTAACCTGCTCAGGAGAGGACTTTAAGAGATGACTCGGGTGATTCAAAGGGATTACAGATCTTTAGAGAACCGGCATGCTATACAATACAGATTTGTCTGTAAGCGGAATAAGACGTTTAGCATGTCTTTTCCCCCGCTGAAGGAAAGCATACAGAATTCTCAGTGACACCAGCAGGACTTCACTGCGGACGTATAAATTTGAAGTGACACACTGACACATGTAATATTTTCACCAACTCGAAGTTACGGGTATGATAGAGTCTGTAAGACAGACTATCATTTTTGCATCGGAAGATTGATTTTTCCAGAACAACGTTATATGAAACGTTATTTCCAATAAAAATTCTCGTCTTTGCACAACACGTGTCCTGCTGATTTTTTTCCAGACACCCTACAGGCAAGGCTTTTTTTCTGGTGGTCAGATGCTGCCTGACCTGTCATGAACGTAAGAGGAAATCTATATAATCTTGCCCAGGGCATAATGTTCCTTACAGAAATACTTCATTTCCTGAAGCAGCAATGGCATTTTCATTAGTGTGACTTCTGCTGTTAATTTAAAAAGTTCCTGAAAATCAACAGCTAAGCAAGGTCAGACGGAGTTTTCCCGACCAGTCTGGAAAACTCCACGTATACAAACACCATCCCTCTCCTCAACAGCAAAACCAGACTGACTACGAGGTTAATCATGGTTCTTGTTGGAAGGCTTTGAAAGTTGTAATGTTCTAATTTTTTATGATAAAGGTCTACATAGAGCAAGTACAGGAAAGGTAATCCCTTTTTTTTATTTTTTTTTTTAATATTCCTAATGCAGCTGGAACAAAAAACCCAAAAGTTGTCAGGCAACCACCTTCTTCTCCAGTCCCCAAAGGCAGCCTCTTGCCTGGTGGACTGAAGAAGATACGGAGCATCTCAAGGTATTATTTAGAAAATAGTTTATAAAACACCTTAGTAATATACTGAGAATAAAAGATAGTATTAAGATCATGCTGAATTTTGGAAACTTTAGTGACCTGCTCTGCTTTCAGAACACACGGAGTCTAAATATCTTGGAATTTTAATTTACTAATTGCATTTTTAAACAATCTCTCTAAAGACTTACAGAGCAGTTTTAGATGTACTGTCTCATAATTGCATTTTAAGTTTCGCGCTCCTTTCATGTAAAGAAGCCGTAAGGGCGGGGGGGAAGAGAGGGAGGAATTTATGGCCTTTAGGCACAAACATAAGTCTCCTTTTCAACAGGAAGAAGAGGTATGATTCACCTGCTTTAACTTACTCCAGAAACACCAAAACCTTCTCCAATATCCCTGAACAATGCACCATATACCTTTTTTTTTTTTTTTTTAATGCATCATCCCTTCACCATACCACCTCATATGCTTTTACAACCACCAAGCATAACCAGTAGTCAGAGGAAAGAACAAAGATGCTTCAGCTGGGCGTCTCTTAAATGTAAAAGCGTGTGTGAGAAGTGGTGGGTTGCTTGAGAAAGAAAACAATATGACTTCTCTTTGTTTTACAAACTACTTAAGGTGCTGACCTGTAGCTTATGCACTTTCGGGTTCTGGTAGACCTCCTTTCAAGCAGCTTTGATTTTGGCTTTTTGGAATCTTTCTTCTTCTCTTCCTGACCTTCAGGTATTTCTGGCTCCTGTTCACATAGGACAGAAGTGTCAGAAAGCTCGTGACTTGTTGCAGCAGAGTTCACGTGAATCCTTGCACCTATTGCACTTATATGGCTACATAAATTCATAAATTTAAGGGTTCAGGCTATCGTATCATTGTGTTTATACTACAACACCGAGATCGTGCTTCAGGTGATACCCCCAGGACTAGTAAATGCAGCAGCTGAACAAATTGTTGCCAGCATCTCTACATACTGAGCAGAGACATCTTTACATGGCGTAGTTTCAATAAAGTTCCACGCAGGTTTATTTTATAGTATTTTTTCCAAGTTATTAATTTAAAATAAAAATAAAAATCTGCCCCCAGGCTGAATTTTTCAAATATTTGCTTCCAGCCATAGACTCTTTTGTAAGTTTGTAAAACCTGTTATCATTTTTCTGTTATCCAGAGACAGGGGGAGAAAGTTGGCTTTATAACAGTCAGTTAGAGTGGAAAGTCTGTGTTTAAAACAAACAAAAGTTTCATTTTAAACCCTCATGCAAGGAACAGATTATAGAATTTCAGACGAAGGCATTTGGCTAAGACTTCAAGAGAATCACTTTGAAATGTATTTAAGAAGTGAGAAGAGGCTGTTCTTCATGTGAATAAAAGCATTTTCCTGTTTTGTAAACGGAAACTGTATAAAACCATCTGTTAATAAAACACTAAATGTTTATAGTTTTTAACCATATGTGACTTCAATATACATTTGCTGGAGGCAAATGTTACGCTTCCAATAGTTATGCCCTCTGAATCGTAAGCCAGAAACATTTGCTTCCATCAGTTCCAAAGGAAAGCTGTGACAATTAGCTCAGCCGACTATACAGCCGACACCAGAGTTAAATAAACTGAATCCCACCTTTACAAACTACAGAACTGGCAGAGCGCTCTGCTCAAAACCCAACTGTAACGGGCAGGGAGGCGATTCTGCGATCTTTCACTGACAGAGGACTCTGTGTGGCACCAGCTGGCTCTAATAAATAAAGTAAAGCTGCCTTGGTTTCTCTGCGAACTTCAATCTCAGTCTAAAACGAAAGGTCTAGAATTATTTCTGACCTGCGTATAGATTGATTTTTCTTGCCAAGATGCTACCAGCACTTCTAACGCACCACTGAGCAACTTCTTCCCTGAGAAGTTTGGAAAGGAAAACAATAATACAACACAGTAACTTACCTGCGGTGGAATGATGTTCTCAATACTGATACCCACATACACCAATCGCTCTTTTCTTTAGGAGAGAAAAAATGAAAATAAGCTTACAGAAAGACTGCAGATATCTAAAATAATGCTGTAATTAGCACTGTTTGAAGCTCTTACTATTGCTAGGCAGAAGCACCCCAAGAGGATGTTCCACTGAAAACAGTTATTTTAACTGAAATTATGTGCTAAATCTCATATGATTACGTTTTCCTACATGCATAATGTAAGAGATTTCCAAGGAGTTCTAACAAACAACAGTACTTGAAGATTGCGGGCACCACAGAAATGATTGAATTGGGGTGTAAAAAGCAATTAAAAACAACCAATGTTGTGATCAAGATTATGCTGTCATATCCATAACTACCACCAACCTTAGATGCGCTGGAAGATAAAATGGGAATTCAAAATCCCACTGAACTGGGAAAACTACGCAATGACAGGATGCAATCCAAACCAGACAAGTGCCAGATGTTATACCCGGGCAGGAACAATCAACTCTAGAAACACCAGGGAACAAATAACTGCCTGCGTAGCAATTCTTCGTCAGAGGGGAACAGCCTGAACAAAGACCAACAGTCAAGCTGCTGTGGAAACAACTATGACGACAGATGGACGCGTGAACAGGAGAACAGCCTACAGGACAACTGAAGGAAGCCTGCCAAGGTAGTCAGCCCTGTTCACACCCAGCTGGAGGACCTGAAGTACTTCTGAAGTACACATACTTTAAGAAAGATGTGATGCAGCTGAAGGGTTCAGAGCTAGCCAGTAGGAGTTACTGGAGGGCAGCAGACATGCCCTGTTGAGAAAGGCTGAAAAAGAGGATAGACTGGTCTAGAGAACACTAGACAGAAGATGGGAGAGAGAATAGAACTCAAATATAGGAAAGATTCTTGTGAGGAGAAGTAGGCTGTCCTCCTTGTCCACAGTACGTTACAGGATTAAATCAAACTAAGTAAAACCCAAGTTTAGATTTTGCTTGCCTCATCCTGTATCATCTGAATTGCCCTGGGCACAGTGCTGGCTCCTGGCCTCTACCTGAAGCTCCTGAAGGACACAAGTCTCCCATAGGTCTGGTCTTATCTGTCAGTCCCAACTAGAGATGCCACGGCTGTCCTAGCACCTGGCAAACAGCACTGGGGGCTGATCTTCAGGGTACCGAACTGAGCTTTCAAAAAAGCAGTCTGTCAGGAAGAATAGCCAGGTACTAAAACAGACTGTAGTGGGTAACCAAACTACCACCACTGTAGGTCCCCACTGGCCTTTTTCTAGGAAAACAAGGGATAATTTAAACAAATTAAGGAAAGACATGGACCTGTTGCAGGAAAGACATGGATGTGTTGGAGCGGGGCCAGAGGAGGGCCATGAGGATGATCTGAGGACTGGAGCATCTCTGCTGTGTGGACAGGCTGAGAGAGTTGGGGTTGTTCAGCCTGGAGAAGAGAAGGCCCCGGGGAGACATTATTGCGGCCTTCCAGTACCTAAAGGGGCCACAGGAGAGCTGGGGAGGGACTTTTTACAAGGGCATGTAGTGGTAGGACGAGAGGGAATGGCTTCAAACTGGAAAAGGGGAGATTTAGGATAGATATTAGGAAGAAATTTTTCACTGCGAGGGTGATGAGCCCCTGGCCCGGGGTGCCCAGAGAAGCTGTGGCTGCCCCATCCCTGGAGGTGTTCAAGGCCAGGTCGGATGGGGCTTGGAGCAACCTGGGCTGGTGGGAGGTGTCCCTGCCCATGGCAGGGGGGGGGGGACTTGATGATCTTCAAGGGCCCTTCCAACCTAAACCATTCTATGATTCTAAATGAAGATATGAAAGAAAGTTGGTGGCATTTACTGGGCTCTGCAAGGACTCTAAAAGCAAGTCACATCTCTACAGAATTTAAAATGATTGTGAATAACAGTATTTTAGAGCACACACTCTGAAGAACAATCCTGCGGGCGACAAGGTACAAACTAGACATTTGCCAGCAGACCTCCAATTTTCAGGATCCAGTGAAACATCATTACAGTTGAAAGGAAATCACGCAAGAACCAATGCTAACCTCTTCGGGGTTTCTGAGCTAAAGAGTCTCCATCAACCCAAATCACACTTCTGAAGGTACAGTGAGCGGTTGTGTGAGCATATATCACATGGTGCTTGAGTCGCAACAGGATGCGTCATGTACACAAGTCATCCAGACCCGCACACAAACGCCTGAGATGCGTATTAATTTTAGCTACGTTTACTTCATATGTGCATTATTTTTTGCAAATAGAGGCATCTATGTGTAAAACTTTCATTTCCAATACTTTCATTAATTTCTAAAGAAGCAAAGTATATTTTAAAAGTCTTCTGAGTAGCCTTCTGCACTATACATTTTTATCTAAGTAAGCCCCTGGAGAACTCTTTACTGAAAGAATCTAGCATAATGTTATTTTCTTAAGTAACATGAGCAAACACGGTTCCTAAAGTAATACTGACAGAGTCAAAGTGGATTTTAGGGCTTTTTTCTAGCCAAAAAGACAGAATCACAGAATGGTCAGGGTTGGAAGGGACCTCTGGAGATCATCTAGTCCAACGCCCCTGCCAGAGCAGGGTCACCTACAGTGACCTACAGACCATGAACTTTGACAACTCAGCATCGTTATATCTAAGTTGGAATTTCTGGCTGTGTATTGAAGTAATTGGTTTTGTCTCCTAATGTCAGTACTCCAAACTGATGGATCAAAAAAAAAAAATCTTCATCCATCTAAGCACCATAAGATTGGTTGGATGAGGAAGAATGTTGTCATACGCTGTGCAAAATCACTACGCTCCAGAAATGAATTAAAAGGCATCCTAAGGCAGGGAATACAACCGCTAAAATGAGAAAGGAACTAGAAATGTAAACAATTTAGTGTTCAGCAAGTGTCTTTGATAATTTTCTCCACTTCTCATTTCTTATAATGCAAAACGTCAAGAGACAGATGAGAAAAATTCAGCTGGTTTTAAACCTCAGTGAGGCTTTCGAGGTCTGCTTTTCTTCTCCCTGGCTTGAGTACATGCTGCTTAAAGAAATTAGAAAATGACACAAGCCAGTCCTGCTGAGGTACAGGTGTTAAAATGAAATGCAAAATGACGTATCAAATGCATTCCTTATTCGCGTGTACCACACAGAAGCTCAACGCTTTACCCAACAGTTTAACCATTTGAACAAACAGGTCTCCAACAGTAGGGGCAGAGAAGTACTGACTGGTTATAAATTCTTCCAAGACGAATCCAGAAAACAACATCTCTCATGTAAGCAGCTGTAAAAGTTGCTACATGAAATTGTGGATGAAAGGAAGTACTTACTCCACCTGATTTGGCCTGGGAGAAGCAGACTAGAGGGATTTTCTATCAAGGAGCCTGAGAGTCTCTACCGTGAACTAAAAGGGGAATCCATAAAAGCTTTAATGTCCACTCCCTCTAGGTGGTGGTAGGACGTGATTATAGAAGTTAGAGTGTACATGAGAAACCTGAAATTCAGCAAGGTTGTTGTGGTAGCACCTGGAATTCATGAACAGGGGGAAAAAAAGGTATGACTTTGATCTATGTATTTGTAAGTCAATGTGAAACCTGAAGTTTTCATTAAAAAAAGCCTGTGACGTAACACTTTGGGGATGCATAAGAATACAGCTGAGCAGCTGAATCAATTTTAGTCAGATTCCTGAAAGCTGGAGAATAACTGAAAGAGAATGACAGTATCACTAGTTTAAAAAGCAACATCATAACACTGGTTCAAAGAATCTGTGAAGTGTGTGTGCGCCCATGATGAGACAGTTGGTTTTCTTCTCTTTGCCAAAAAGACAGACAACACATACTGTGATTTTACAGAAATATTACATCAAAATATTTCCGTGCCCCAAACAACCAACCTGCTTTAACTTTTACACCGAGCTGTAATAAGGACTCTGATTTCTTCTAGCATTCTAATTCTTCAGCCTTTTTACCTTACAATGTGTTAAAACGCACCACCCTTAGGTTGAAAGACTTACGAATCAGTTTTACGCTATGCGATACAAAACATTAGGTTCATTTGGTACGAGGATCAGATTGCAAAACGGTTGTTAAACATCTGTTTCAGACACTGACAAGTGCTACAATACCAATTGTACGCTCTCCTGTAACCATTAAAAGATCGTATTTTTATGCAATGCTGGTGATTTCAAGAAAGCAAGACAGGCTGGAAAAAGCTTACATTCCGTGTAATGTTTGCCAGCAGAATATTTACCAAAGTAGGTCCAAAAATATTGTTCCCCAGTAATGAGTCTGCCCACCATAACGCAGAGCAGCAGACACAGCTCCTTTGTGTCCCATACTCCCGCACAGATGGAGGCTGTGTGTAAGCTGAGCTCACGCATAAAAATAGCTAATGGTTTCGTTCCCAAAGCTACAAATTCGCTAGAATTGGCAAGCCGTGGATAATTTTACCACAGCGTGATCTAGATCCACTCGGAGCAGAAGTAGCAATGTTAGGAACAGTTGGTTCCTGATCTGTCACTGTCATTGTTGCTGCTGCAACAGCAGTAACAACCAGGAGATTTGAAGGAAGCTGAAAACAGCCAGGGACTGTGCTCCGCTCCTCCCAGCACCGAATCACTACATATTACTGTACCTGCTACAAATATAAACCTGCTCAATTACTTTCTTTAAAAGGGTTTCACCTTCTGGTGAAATTTGCCTTTTAAGATTCGATTCCTGCAAAGTTTTGTTTAATAATGCATACCCAAGTTATTAAATTTTGCAAAATACCCATTATATGTCCTAAAAGGTATAAATTATGCAGACTGTGTTTCATGTCCCTCATTTTCAGGTCTGAAAACTGCAGATAGGATGTTCCAAATATTAAGGATGTTGTTCATAAATGCAGGAAATCGGTGTGCATTTATTTAGCCTTCGGTAATGGTGGGGGCAGACACAAAATTTCATTCAAAGTTGTAATTTAGGAGACCCACTGCGCTACAGCAATTGCATAATCTTGTAAATTAAGCAAAGTTTAACAGAATCTAAAGCAACAAGACTCAAAACCCACATTAATCTGGATGACCTTTGTAACAAAGTCAGGACTTAACCTTGCTTACAGCAGGAACTCTACACGTGGCTGACAGCATAACTAACACATGCAGCTGAACCAGTACTGAAAACCATTTCACTACTGGTACAGGAAAGCCAAATTTGTGTTCAGCCACCTTAATCAAAGTTTAATACAAATGTATTTGCTTATCTTTTCCAATTATTGGACTTTTTCCTCCCTTCCTGCAAGCTCTGCCAGCACTGCACCAACAATATATATAATAATCAGTAGGAAGTCAAAACTGGTGTTATCAGTTCCCAGTCTCGTCACTACTTTCCTCCCCAGTCCCCAGTTATTTTAATGCCTGTTCAGTTATTGCAACCCCTCTGCGTAGCAGCTTGCTGTGAACGCAACCAAACAATAGTACCTGCGCTCTGCACGCTCCTTCTTTTTTAAGACAACATCCAGATCTTGTAATTGTTCTTCTAATTTCTCACACAGCAATTTCTAAGGGAATGAAACACAAAATCAGTTTCTTTCATAACCAACTATTTTCCTGTTGAACTAATGTTCAGACACTTCATTCACTATTTCTATATTTGTCTGGAAGAAGGGCGAGTGCCTCGCTACACTGGAGGCTCTTCTTTCATGAACAAGGCTTTACAACAGACTGTTTTTCCTAAAACACGTGCGCTTCACCATGAACTGCTATAGAGATGCATCCTCCCAGTAACTGGCATTTACTGTAGGAAGCAAAGTGCCTAAAGCAAGTATTAAAGATGTTTAGAATAAACATACTTCTAAATCAGTACCACATTTTTGTTGGTATTTACAGCTTTGCCTTAGAGAAACCTGAGGATTTCATAGACATACATAATACACACACAGAAAGCTGAGTGCGTGTACACACAGTGGTTCCTGTTTGCCTCTTATCTTAATCTTTGGAAAACACGTGAGTCTGTGGAAACCGCGGTAAAAAGTAGAGATACACTTCAGCATCATTTTCTTACCAAATGTTCCATATCTTAGAATACCACTTAATACTCAAGAAGCCATATGTAAAAATGACTTTTTTTTATGGACAAACTGTGCCTTTTTCCACGCTAATGCCCTCATCGTACTATTTCCAGGGCTGATCTTCCCACTTTCACAAATCCGTCATTTTTCATATTAGAAATTACTAAACAGCCAACAGAGCGAGGAGATGCTCTAACTACAAGCTGCAATCTCAAATGGTGTAAAGAAAACATTCTTACATATTCAGAATCATCTTTACTTGAAAATGCTCCTCAGAATACAAGTAAAAACTGATGCTGAGTACAGCTGCAGCACGCCACGTCCAGCCTGGTGAGCTTTGTGCAGGGCAATGGCAATTCTTTGGGCAAAGAATTTTTCCAATAACAAGGAAGGGGGTTGGGATTAGGCCGATTATTCCAAAAATGTGCATAAATGGTTCTCCATTAATTTACCACAAACAGCATCACACGCTCTTCAGGCTTATCCTCCCAAACACCATCCCTGCAAAACTCGCTATTTTAGGTGTACGTTAAATGAAACTGGACGTGTGTATTGTGGTTGGTTTTGGCAGAAGCAGCTTCTAACCTTCAAAAAAGTGTTCATACTTGTCTATTGCTTGCCAAGGACAACGCTGGCTTTCCCAGCAGAGGCAAACTATACCGCGAGACTCATTAGAAATAGCAGCTTTCTCTAGCCAGCTTCTAAGCAAATGTCTCTGAAGAAGGAGAAGCACTTCAGAAAGAGCTGCTTGCTTTGGCCACTGATCCATCCCTCCAGGAGGATAACACGATGTTTCTTTTGGGAAAAAATTAAGACATTGTATTTTTAATACTATGATAGTCTTGAGGCAATTTAACCAAAGATGGGAGAAGCCTGGTGTGGCTGGAGATTCCCATGTACATGTCAGTCATTCATCACTAGCAGAAAAAAGCAAAGGAAAGGAAAAACCACCTCACGAAACTCAATTTTACTAATGGCAAGAGCGAAGATCAGCATCCCTACACTCCATCACAGTCTATTTTTAAACAGAAAAACAATAAAAGAACTTGTTAAAACTCTCAAAAAATCTCCACAATGGCAAAGAAAGCTGAAAAGGAGAACAGTGAAGTCGAACAGGAACCATACGTGCTGGCAAGGTGGGCAGAACCACTCTCCGTCGGGGATTATCATCAAAGGAGGGCGAAGGCAGGCGGTGTGGTATCCACTGTCACACGAGTCACACAACAAAATCTGTGCAAACAAAATGAATCATGAGTATCTTCTGGCATTCTTAACACGGAACAAGCTCCAGAGCTGTTTCCCCAGCCAACACAGAAGCACTTTATAAATACTTTGGACTGTGCCAAACCCCAAAACCCCTGTATCACTTATCACTAGATGTTTCCAGGGCCAGGGGTGGTTTTTATGGGGAAGTTTATGTATCACAGTTTTCTATTTTAACACCAGATTTCCTCTTATTTATGTGTTCTCAGGCACTTTGTGCTACTGGACTCCGTAGATCGTGTGCCCATAGTGTGGAATCTGGTAATGCTTTCCAGATCCCGGACTAAGAGGAAAACTGCATCTGGACAAGATGTGGTGTGAATTGTTTTCCCTGTACGCTCACGTCCACACGAAGGAAACCTGGCTATTCCGTCAGTCGGGATGATTTTATGTCCCGGACAGAAGAGACAAAGCCTTGAAGACTCTTAGAGGCATACAGAACTACACAACTATTAGAGTTCATACTTAGCTGGGTAAAGCTGAGATATCCGTTCAAGCTGAGGAACAAAGCTGGCATAAGCCTGTGTGAGCATCTATTGGAATATTTGTCTCCACCATCCTAAATTTCGAATGTCATCTCAACCATGCTAGGATATCTGTCACACACCTGAGAGCACACTTGTTTTGTGGATTCATAACAGGACTGCACGTTATAACTTCCCAGCTAAGCAGAGGAATTCATGACGATATCTACTGCCGATGAACCAGACCCATAAACATCAGAAACAGTGAAAGCTCACTGTGCGCTTTCTGTATGGGATTTTGCTGTCCCCAGTCCTCAGGTTGATGTGCAGCTGTACCCAAGGAGGATGACTACATAGCTGTGACCATGTCATAAGACACTGGGTGCACACACTGCCCTGCTGGGTTGGTTTTTTAACGTTGTCTCCTCTGTATCCATTGAGATTGCAGGCACAACCTCAAAGCCTCACCCAGATTAATTCCCAATGGGCTAAACTGTGTTATAATTCATAAAAGATGACATTTCAGAGGTGGAAAACAGAAGAAATAACTTCCTTCCCTCCTTATTAAAGGTAAACTTATCTACTCCCACATACAGCCAACTCAAAAGACAATGTGCCTTCAGATACCACCAAAGCCAATCCACCACATAGACTCATAGAATCGTCAAGGTTGGAAGGGACCTTTAAGATCATCAAGTCCAACCATCAATCTAACACTGCCAAACCCACCTCTAAACCATGTCCCTCAGCACCACGTCTACCTGTTTTTTAAATACCTCCAGGGACGGTGACCCCACCACTGCCCTGGGCGACTGACACAACAGCCAAGAGAAGCTTCTCCCAAAAGCCTACCAGCTCGGGGTGATTGGGAAGGCCGCACTTCTTGCATGGCTCATCGTCATCAGCAGGTGCAGCTTCTTCTTCCTCCTCTTCTTCATCTTCCTCATCATCATCAGAGTTTTTTTCACTCTCTGAGTCCTCACTTTCTTCATTACTTGAGTATTTCCACCTGCCGCGTGTTCGCGTACCCGTCCACCGAACTTTGCTTCTCTACGAGACATACCATGTCAAAGAGAAAACACAAAGGAAGCTTACAGGGTATCTTCCCAGACCTTAAAAAAAAGATGTCTCGACAGTGAAGTGATTCATTTCAATCAGAACAGTTGCAGAAAATTTACAACACAGTATTTCAACAAACAGACAATCTTTCAAAGAGCCCTTAAAGTGCAACAGGATAGTAAAGGGACAAAAATTCCTATCAACCAGTGAAGAGAAATTTTCAAATACGATTTAAAAGAAGAAAGACAAATTTGTCACTCAGGCCCTTTTTTCTATTTTGACAAGGTAAACTTGCTCGCAAACATGGTAAATTCCACATTTAAACTTTCTGAATGTTTGATGATAGCTTTCCTCAATCCAAAGAGAATCTTTTCTTCCCCCACACCCCATACAGTTTATGTCTTTTATTTCGCTTTAGGAACCACGTTTGCACTCTAACACATGTATTAACTGAAGTGTTTCTGGTGCATTCCTCTAAGATGGGCATACTTTTCTGCTATAAAATCACTGTACCTTTTAAGTGCATACCTTATATCTAGGTCTTCTTTCACGTTTATACTTTTGCATTATTTTTCTAGAGTGAAAACCTGATTCATTTGATGCTTCTTTTTTGTTAATCAAAGGGGCATCTACCCCTTTGTATCATATCTACCGCAGGAAAGCAACCACAGGTCTTACCCTGCATTTACTTGGACTTTCCACCTTTTATTTTACACAGTGGCAAATGACATCTCTTATTCTCTAGATGTGTTAAGCTTTACTAGTAATATGTTTTAAATATATTTTGAATGAAAACCAGATTTCCATTAAAATTCAGAATATTATTTTTGTATTAGTTAAAACTACTTTCTACAACCAGGATATTTTATATTTAAAGCAACAGATGAAACAGAAGAAACTTTTCTTCCCATTAACTGACTTGTTTCTTACAGACATTCTCTCAACTCCTTCCCTCTCCAGACACCAAAAAAAGAAAATAACTTTTCCAGTTTTTTCAACTTAAAACATTTTTCAATTTTGACTAAACTACTCATTGACTTGAATGAGCTGAATAAACTCAAATGTACAAAATATTCTATTTCTCCTGCAGGACGGACTCGTACCAAAGCAGTATTTGTCATACTGGTAAAATTTGGTTTCGGGTTCTTAATAATTATTTCCAGCTCTTTATAGTAGCAAATGTACTTTAAATCCATGATAGTATTAGTTTAAGTTTAGGCTTCATCATATGTCATCATCATTTCAAATCTATTTTTAAAAAAACCTTCTTTAAAAAAAAGCCATAAATATAAAATACCCTTTTAAAGATTTGGGTGTTTTTCATCTCAGTAAAATGACAGAAGCTTAATAGTTTCAAACTTCTTCCTCTATCATATTTATTTTAAAATCTCTCTAGAAAAGTAAGTATTTTTAGATCTCTGTATCTTTCAAAAAAAGAGATCAAGTTGAATCTCCTTTAATAACAGTACTTCAAAATTAAAACTACTTGTAGGACTTACAAACACTATGATTTCTATTAATTTTTTTAAACGAAAATTTTAAAATTAATCTTTGAAGTTTTTTTCCCATCACATATATGAAAGAATTTTTCAGTATAAACGTTATCATTGATTGTCAAATCAGCTGTACGTTTTACGGAGGTTACTCAAATTTGCTAAATAAGTGAATGTCTTGGTAGAACTACAAAAAAATCAGTAAGGAAATACATAGCAGTCGATCTAAAAAGACTTTTTGTTTCTCTTTTGTACTCCATATACAGAAAAAAAATGGAAGATAAATTAATAAAAGGTGTTTATAATTGCATAGACTTAGAAGCAAACTACACGTATGCATATTTAACTTTTTGTGTTATATTTACCTGACATACTTTTAAGATCTATGCTGCATAAGCTGAAGTTCATCATGAAAAAGACAGCTCCACCCAAAGTAAAATTTCTATCCCGTGCATGATAAAAGCTAAATTATATCACGAACTCACCCAAACAGTAACTTTTGCTTCACCTAGAAACAGAAGTCATAATATTTTTATTCTTCACCATTTTTTGGTTCTTTTGTGGCTTACCATCATCCTGACCAACCAGACACCAACAAGTATCCATCTAGTAAATCCACAGGAGCCAGAAGTCTCCATGCAGCCACTCAGCCAGACTGACTCAGCTCTCATCATTTCAATCCTTAGAAGAATTCACTCTGGTTGACTTGGTCTACTTAGTTTAGGACAGATTTTATAAACCGGTAAGTCAACACTCTCTTAGGCCTTTTTTTTTTTTTTTTAAGATTTGTTGAGTCCACTAACTGGATGGCAAAGCCGGTTCCTTGCAAAAGCTGACCAAAGGAACAAAATCCTCAATATTCCCATGTAAACGTACATTCTCCTTAAAATAAGACTGTGGGTACTCTTTATTCCTGGGTAATAAAACTGTATTACCTTGTTAACCTTAGAATTTGACTCCTTCTCTTGTTTTTTTGCATCTTCTTTTCGTTCTGGTTTTTGTGCTGCTGCAGGTTTCTCCTCTTCCTCTTCAGGTCGTTTTTTGTCAGGTTTCTGATCCCGAGTCTCCACAACTTTTGGAGTAGGCTTGGATATTCTTGGAGATCGCCTTAACGTGCGGCCAATGCTGACCTCTTCTGGCGGTGGTTCTGTCTTTCTCTTCCGACTGGAGATCCTGATTGTTAATTTAATTCCTTCTTTCTGTCTTTCAGAAGTTATTTCTTTGTTATCTGTTGCACAGCTTTCTTCTTCAGAAACTAGCTTATATTTAAATTTGCTTTTAGGTAGCGGAGATTCCTTTTTACTCTCTGAGGAGTCCTCTAGATTAGAAGCATGGGCATCACCTAACGAATCTGGCTCTGCCTTGGCAGCTTCCGGCTCTTCCTCTTGTTTTTCAGGGCTGGGTTTTTCTTCTACTTTGCTCTCCTCGGGTAGAGCCATTTTATTATCAGAGCCCTCCTCTTCCAAAACAGGTTTCTCTAAAGTCACAGGAGAAGTAGATGGAGGGGGCGTCTCAGCAGCTTTTGGAGAATCAGGTTTCTCCTCAGACTCACCTTTACTTTTCAAAGTCTCTTCGTCAGACGGTGCAAGCTTGGGCAGTTCTGCAGGAGCAGATGCATTTGTGGACTTCTCTAGCTTCTCTAAACATTCTTTGGGTGGCGGTAGTCTGTCCTTTTTGATTTTCATGGCTTGTGTTTCTTCGGTTGTTTTGGCACAGTCTTCAGAGTTCGAAGACTCTTCCTCTACCATTTCAGTAGTCGTGCTGTCAAGGGACTCTTTTTCCGCAGGACTAGATTCCTCCTTTAAAGGCACTTTCTGATTAGAAACCTCAGAGACCACAGCCCCTGTCTCTTTCACCACAGTTACTGCATTTTTCTCAACCTCACACGCTTTTATAATTTTACTAACAGAGTCTGATACCTTTTCCCCACTTTTTCCATTTTTCTCTTTTAACAAGCTGCTGTCTTCCTTTGTGCTAGCGGAGTGTTCTGACTTATTATTTTGTATGACACTTGGGGTTATTTTTTCACAGCTAACCTCTCCATTTACTAGCACTTTCCCATCAGGACATAAAGCAGTAATTGTAGGGACTCTCTTAAAAGCTTCTTCTTCTGGTTTCCCTTCTTCCTTCAAGACATCCTTTGTCGGAGTAACACATTTACACAGGGGCCCCTTTATTGGACTGTCATAGTCATCCGTCAGCTTGATCTCTCGCTTTTTAAGCGGTATTTTTGCTTGCTGGTCATTTTTAAGTTTCTCACTTTCTTCCACGGATTTCTCCACAATTTCCTGGGGAGTTTTGACATTAACACAAAATTCTAACCTCTCTGGCTCATGAACTGCTATTTTGTCCGTACAACTTTTTACTTCTTTTAAGTCTTTTGGTTCTACTTTGTTTTCCTTCACCTCTACTTTAACAGGCTTGACATTTTCTTTAAAGGAGTCACTTTCTTCTTTGACAGTTTGCTTTTCTTCATTGTGTTCTGAAGGTTTCTCTAATTTTACTATTACTGGCAATTTTATAATTTCTTTTTCTTCCACTTTCTCAATTTTCAGCGTATTTTCATCTTCTTTGACCTCAGGAAGAGGAAGGCTTTCCGGTTCCATTGACTGTTCCTCCACCTCCTCTTTTTCTTCTTTGATTTTTAATTGATTTTCTGTTGACAGAGAAAAACAGCTATGAAACAACCAGGGGACCTACAGGATTACAAAGAGCATCCACCAAAACAAAGGCCTATCTGAAAAACACGACAACCCAAAGTCCCCCGCAGATGAATCTTCTCTCATGGAATTATTAGGAGTCTGACTTATCTAATACTGTCATTTAACAAGTGGGTTCCCAATTTTTAGCTATAGAATCACAGTTCAGTTTAATTACATACCAAGATAAACCTAAATTTCCAAAACTAGCAGCAGAATTCTAGATTCATCCTTCTTTCTAGAGACATCTCAGCCCCTTCTTTAGTAGTACCACAGTATTTTCAGAGGACACATAAAGCCTAAGCAGTGGGCGCACGAAGCATCAATGTGAAGTCTCACTTGAGTTTCTGAATTATTTCACAAACCAGAGCATGGTGTAAGATTCCATGGTCTTCAAGTGAAATTCCACATAGAAATCAGTCCCCTGTTTGTACACGTTTTTATTTCAATAAATACTTAACTGTTGTATTTCAACAGTTCAGAGAAAAGAGAAGACGTTCAACATTATAGCTTATGGCAAGATTCATCTAGATTCTCTGGGCATTGACTACATCTCCTACGTACTATCAAAATGCAAATAACAGACAATATTCTACGTTCACTTCATCTGCCATTTCTAAAACGAGCACAGTGAGTAGTAGCATATCCCAGAAAAATCTGCAGAGCTTAAAGAATTAGGTTATGCCTACTTGGCTAAGGCAGTTTTAGATAGTTTGGGCTTAAAGCACAATTCCAGCATCCAGAAGAAACCACACGTCTATTTTGTTACTATGTACTTAAGCCTATTATTTATCATTGCCGCAGCCTCTTAACACCTCTTTTTTTTTTTTCTCATTTTACCATACTTTTTGAGTCAGCCAGCAATAGAACTCATTAGAAAAAAAGCAAATATAATAGTACTACACAGACCATAACAGCATCTTCTGCCATCTGAAGATGTTATTTCAGGGGTGCCACAACTCCAGACAAAAAGATGATTTTTTTTTTTTTCTTCTACCTCACCCCTCTCCCTCCACACTAGCGTAATTCTTTTCCAAGATGAGAATTTCCCAAAGTGGTTAGAAATACACAAGGGAAAGTACGTGACAACTAACTCAGTCGCATTAAAGATAATAACCATTTTAGAAACTAGAAGAGTGGTGAGGAAGAATTCATAGATTTTATAATATTTTCAAATACAGAACAGGTGTCCAAATAAGTCTCAGCAATTAGTACAGCAGTGAGAGATGCATCTCTAAGGCACTGGAAGCAGTAGCATTTTGAAGGCTCATGGCTGTTGTTTTCCCCTTCACAGAAGCGGTCCTACTCTGAGCCCTTTAAGAAAAGCTGCCTCTTTCAAGACATTTGTCTGTACAGTGAGAATGAGATACTTTTTCTATGTCCATTTTCTTCCACCCTCCCTTCACTTCTTTCTGTTCAACTTTGTTCAACCATTTCTTCCCGTCACCTACTGCTTTCTCCCAAACTTCTAACGTCAAGGATCACCAGAATCTCCTAACTTCTCTATACTGAGAAGAAGCAGTTGTTCTGTAGTTGAACTCCCTAAACTCGTAAAGCGTTTCACATATACAAAACTACTTAGTCAACGGTGTTCAAGGCCAGGCTGGATGTGGCCTTGGGCAACCTGGTCTAGTGGGAGGTTTCCCTGCCCATGGCAGGGGGGATGGAACTTGATGATCTTCAAGGTCCCTTCCAACCTAAACCACTCTATGATTCTAGAAGTTGCCTTAACGCTATTCGCCATTCGAGTCAATCGACCAGGCTGGTAAAAAACCATGTAAGCATTGGTTCAGCTTACATTATTTTTGTATGAACTAATTTAATGCTGGTTGGGAAGTGGCCAAAGCAGGTATCAGGTCTTCCGATATGTTTTCGCTGTACCTCAGAAGGGCTTTGAGTGCAGTCCTTGGACTAACAGGGAGAAATACTAAAGCTTCTCAACTGAAAGTCTCTAAGTAGTGCTCTGTGAAGCCACTGACTGCACTTAAATCACCGCACACATAAATTATTCTTCATTACATGGAACTAGTGCCTAGGAGTGATTTTGCATCAATACACAGCCTAACGCAAGGACTGACCCAGGCGAGTGTGCCATAGGATTTGGGGACTTATCTACAGTGGGGACATTTATTAATATGTTTTCAAATGGTTCCTCCTGAATTCAATATAAACTAAAATCGTATCTGAAGTAGAGATCTCAGTTAGATGATTTAAGCTGGCTTGACCAATTTCTAGCAATAAAAAGGCAAGATCAGTACTTGGAATAAATTCTGCAGCGTCGGTAACCACGCAGGTTACGTTGTCACTTATATGCACAGTTAGATATTGGAAATGTCTTAGACTGAAAGACAATTCTGCTGGTGTTCATCACAATTTACTGCAATTTCTCCAGTAGACTTTTAATACTTCCATAATAACTCAAATTTTATCTAAACATCTTATTTATTTCTTCTGTTCTACACTGTTTGTTGCAAAGAATGAGAATAAATTCTCTTTGATACTCAGAACCAAGACAGGCCGTGGTTAATTCCATATATTGAATTAACTTAAAGAGATTTGGAGAAACACATACTAACACAGTGGAATCCTTAAATCTTGTTTCCGATTGTGAAAATCTTTTCCTGTATTTTAACAAAATGCTAATACCAGGTAGTAACTGGGGTGAAATTACTTGGGATAGCAAGCTTTCAGCTTTTCATATCCTAAAAAAGATCAGATTCTTATAACACGAAATACTTCAGGCTAACTGATTCTGATACTTAGTAAAACCAGTGCACAAAAAAAACAAGCCCGGGAAGTTGTTAAATATGTGCAATGACATGATAATAAGGAAGGAAAAAAGGTTCTTTGTTAATAAGAACAGCAGAGGCAGCTAAGGACCACTTCACAAATATTTTAGGTTTTTAAATTGTTTTAACTTAAGTTCACGTCTTCTTGAAAAATCATGCAGATTATGACACATTTGAGGAAGCAACCTGTATTTTTTGATTCAAACTCAAAAGCAAAAATAAACAACACACCCAATACTGTATTGATTTCAATCATGGCATTGCACAAACAGATATGTTTTCTTTTTAAAATTTTAATGTTGCTAGAACAGGAAAAGTTTGTCAACAGTTCAAAGCTCCACAAAGACATACAATAATGACTATTTACAATATTATACAAAATGTACAGCAAAAATAAAATTACTTAGAAAACAATTTATACACAGCTCTCCTTATAGATACTCTTGAGCCTAAATATACACTAAAAAACCTCCAGTAAAATTTATAATTTCAAAGTACGCGATATTTACTTGATTTACTTTGAACAGAAACATTTTTGTGGTTTTTTTTTTTAAAAAAAAAAGTCCTAATCTAACACAGTAACTTTTCATGAAGTTGAAAATTCTAACATTGCCACAGCACAACATTTAAAATTTGAGAAAAGAAGGCAGAAAACCTTGTGTAGATGCTTCTTCACCCTTTTTGGTTTCTTCATCTTCTATGCTTGGGCTTTCACGTGATGAATTCTCCTGCTGAGAATTGTTGGTTTTCAACAGGGCAGGATCAATTTGTGCTTTCAAGAGCTCAAGGGTCTCAGCAAGCTCATTGCGGTTTCTAGATGACAGAAGAAAAAACATAGTGTCTGATAAGCCACTTACCCCAAAGGGATTCATAAAAAACAAACAAACACCATCTGCTTAAATGAATGCAGCCCCGAAAACGTTCTATACAAGCACAGTGAAATGCCTGTCCCACCAGAGTGGCTGCAACTTCGCCGTCGGAAACCTTCCAATTTACCCACACCAAAATCAAATCACTTTTTTGAAAGGATCTTATCTATCTCAACTCAAGTCCTGTTGGGTCTGGATCCAAGCTGCTACTATTATTCTTTTGTTTATTATCCTCTTACCGGTCCTCACTGATTTTTGTTCGCAATTTTTTTGTCCCAGCAGAGAGGAAGTTGTAGTTTTCTGCTCATGCACCAAAGGAGCAACCACATCATTCAAGGAAAATTTTCAAAAGCAATTAAGTAATTTAGATACTTTCTGCAAGTACCCATTCTGTAGCAAACAATACAGAGTTGTCTAGAAAACTCCAGCTACTCGAGTTATGATAGTAAGAAAACATTCGTGCCTCTCTAGGTGTGTGAATCTGAGTGCACTGCAACTCCATATTTAAACTGGAAATCTAACTATAAAAACCAACACCTTAATGTATAATGAATTTGGGCGATGATTAAACAGAGGCATAGTTTTCGTAACAGACTAGAATAATAACGCGCTCACATTTCTCATTTCAAAGTCACCATTCAGCAACTTGTTTGGCCCAGGTTGACAGAAAAAAGCAAAGCCTGGAAGTGCAACAACCCTGAGATGTGGAATCTCACGGGTTTAAAAGCATTTCAGATTTTACAATGCAGTACTGTGGTTTTCTGCTGTGAGTGTGGAGTGTCAGAACTTTCCCAGCAGAACCTTGATTCCTTCCGCTTTTGGCATTGATCTCTGGAGTCTATAATGCATGGAGAGAGATAAACACCGTTCAGCTCTTGATTGGTTTGTTTAGATACATTTACTTTATTCACCCACAACAGCTGTCTAAATTTCACTGGTGGTAGTGCTTATCATTTTATGGCCCGTTGATAGTGGTTTAAACCATGTTGTATGATTCCCTTGGTTACTAACATTATGGATATGTAGATAAGCTGCAGGTGTAAAAATTTAAATTTACAAACAGAAAAAAAAAAACCCCAAAACATAATTTGACTTTTTTTTAGATCTATTTTCAGATCTCTATGTGCTTTTTAAGTCAGTTGATTCTGCTGAGTCCAGTTTAAAATCCACTTGGAACTAATCAAATTTTAAAAAAAGACGTTTACATGGAGATAAACTAAAAACGGATAACTGGTAGATAGGAAAAAAAATTCAAACTAATTCCAGTAAGAAAGATCCCATACACTTTGCATAGAGTAGGATAGCAAAAACCAAAACATGTAACAAGAATCACAACCCCCCCTAAATCTGAAGCTAAAATATCGTTAAAATATTAACAGACCAATCCGCAGCAACTGAGACCCAGAGGCACCGAGCCATGTACATGTCAGTCCGCATCAACATCACGCACCTCATCTTTAGTGACCTACGAGCCGAATTCTACTCCAGAAGATTTTTCATGCCTATTTGTACTGTCAGGAGTTATGCAGTCCCATGAAGTTAAAATTGCAATGTAATTCCCCCCAAAACAAAACTGTCCACTTGTAATTGCCTTAATAGAGCAGAAGTTAAAGAAGCAAGAGTCCTCCTCTGTTGCCTGAGGCATTTAGCTGGCCAGTGAGCCACACGGAGCCGTCATCCTCAAGAGTCTTCTCTTGGTACCCTTTCCATATACCCATTGTAGCTTGACTAAGCAGAAAACAAATTACACGTTGGCTACTACCAACAAAGCGGTGAGTCATTTCCGTACATGTTTTTTCACTAAAACACACATGTGAAGGCAGAAATTCCCACTGTCACGAATCCTGCTCTGTGAGAAATGGAGGTTTATTGAAATAGATTTCTGAACCTCAATCACAAATAGAAAAAACCCTACAAAATAAGAAAAAAAAAAAAAACAAAGAAAATAAAAAAAGAAAAGAAAAGGAATACCTAACAATGCACTTCCACGTGGATCCATCCTGGTCATCCTGTTCTTCTATGTACATCCTGACATTATGCTCTTGATCCAGCTGATACCAATACATCAGACCATCCTTGTCTCGACCAATGGGCTGAAGACGCATGGCATCGGCATCCTCCTCGTTAATTATATTCTTGAACTTTAGATTGTCATCAAACTGACATTCACAGAGATACTGAAAAAGTGAGAAAGTAGGCTGTTAAAATATCAAAATATAAACAGAAATAAGAAAATCAGCTCATTTCCTTTCAGCGCAATTTGGAAGTTCTTTTTAGATCTGTGAGTTAACTAGAGCTACCAGGTTTTTTTTCCAGATCTTGTTGGTTTTAAATAAGAGACAAATTTTTATTTGTGTTTTGTTTGTTTTGTTTTTTTTCCTGGCCAGCTTCAAAAGTTTGGTTTGGTTTGTTGTTGGTTTGTTGGTTTTTTTTTTCATAGTACAACAATCTCTTCTACAATAAAACACAAACACAAACATAACTTGGAACCAACCCTGAAAGCTTTCTCAAGACTTGAAAAGTGCCATCTTTGTCTTCAGAATTCAGATTAGCTTCTCTAAAGCTAAGAAACGTTTTAAGAAGTGTACCGCACAGGCAAATAGCTACTGACCAAACAGTAAGTACGAGACCGTTTTCAAAGTTTCATACAATGGGTGGAAAATATGCAAAGCGTTACATTCAGTTTGGGCCCAGCCATGAGCATCACGCCTGTTACCAGATCAACTCCACAATTAATACATCTACTTATGGTTCAGTCAAGCTAAAATTTGCAAGATGTTTAAGTGGGTGAGAAAGCAGAATCTCCATGCGAGTGAGGAAAAAGTCATTTAGAAACTTCGTTGATGAATGTGTACCTTCAGAATCCCCAGTTTGCATTCAACACTCATTTCTAGGTATCCTTTTTTTTCCATCTCCCAAGCCCAAGTGCTGTTGAATTCTTGGCATATCTGTCACAAACAAAATAAGATTGCTGAGGTTAGTGGATAAAAGTAACTTTAAGCTTTTATATTAATAGTACTTTACTGCAGTAGCAATTATTTGTGTTGTCTTCAGGACTGTGAGTCAGAAAGCCTCACAGACACACACAAAAAAAAACCCCAACTGGTGTAGGTTGGGAAGCGCTGGCAAATCTCCATGGAAAAGTACATATCATTGAGGTTCTGGTCACCACCAACTTCTCTAAACCTCTTAAACTCTGAACTGGGAAGGTATCCTTGCCATTGCTGTTTAAAATCTCCCATTTTTCTATTCCTGACTTATCTATTTAGAATATAAATTCTCTCGAGCAGATGTGATTTCTTGTTATGTGTCTTTACAGCACTTAGCATGTGAGCTGCCAAGCTCTCTTGGGGCCATTATGTCCTACAACTGCACTGCAGATAACAAATGCAACTGATATTCACTCCATGCTGTGGAATTATTATTCTTTAGAAAACACTAAGTATCTTGGGCCTCCAGCCATTCGATAAATATTTTAAAATATTCTAAGTAGAGCCAATTTCAATTTACTTAAAGCAAATAAATTCAATGACAGCAATATGGGGGGAAAAAAAACCAACACACAAAAAAGTGGCAGTAGAGGATAAATAGATGGAATCAGCAGGAGCTCCAATAATAACGATGGAGAAGGAATTCCCTCTCCTCCTAAACAACTCAGACATGCTTAAGACAACTCTCCTGAACAGAGAAGAGCCGCTTATCTATCGAGGACACATAGTGGGATCTCCAATCAGCGAGGCTATTCTAGTGGAAATGCTCATTAAAAGGAGGCGAAAGCTAATCACAGCTACAGCTCCAGTTGAGATTATTTTGAAGTGCCCATGTTGAATCACGACTGCCCAAATTAGCACACGAGGTACCGCTGCCCTTCCATCTTCAAGGAGGCAAAGCCCTGCCGCATAGACTCCATCAAACAGCGTAGTCTCCCAGTCACCATATTATTATTCAAGACAAGATACGGTCACTAAGCTACTTAAAAACTCGTAAATCACATCTGAAAGCAGCTTTCTCTGGAAACAGCAGCAAAAATAACCCTAAATTTCACCCACCAGAAGTACAGATCAGCTGATGTGTGTTGTAAAACTCCACGTGGGCTACAACCAAGAAAGGTGCTGCTACCCGTCCCCTGTCCCCACGGCTGTGCTACCTACCCTCCACTATCCCCAGTGCTGACACTGGTTCTGAAGTGCCCCAAGGGTACACCTGCAATTACATGGGCTCAGCCACACCATAAATCACACGCTGACTTTACACTACGACCTGCAGAGGATAGTGGAGAGAGCGCTCTCTGGTGACAACGAATCCTGCTGGAGAGCAGTTTTCCCTGCTCCAAGGGTTAAGGAATGTTACACGGGTGCTTCTCTGACGCAAAGCCAAAGCTCACAGTGAAGGACAATCGCTCCTCGCTCACACAACAAGGTTACTCTGCTTTCTTTCTCATTTTCAATGATGTAGTATGAAGAGTGCTGGGAAACTGAGTATCAAAACCCTCGCTGAGGGCATGTGCCAGTCGCTGTTCATTACTTACTCATTAAGTATGAAAGCAATGACGAGAAGTGTATGATTGTCAAAGCAACAGCGCAGAGACATCAGAGCTGATGAAGTAGCTATTCAAACTGAAATGACTACATTTTGACAATTAAAAACCAGATGATCGTGCTTTCTCCTGACAAGTACTGTCACAACCCTGAACTGCAGCTCTCATTGATTCAGGCTCCGCTGAAACGGTAGTCTCTGCCTTTCATCGTGAGGGATGTTTCACACTGACCAAAAACCTGCTGCTTGTGGGAGCAGCTGGCTTCTGCGTGCACCTTCCTGCCCTGTAGGTCAGCACCTTCCTGAACCTCAAAAGAGACACAGAAATATATCTCTCGCAAACATTTCCCAAGCAACTACGAGGGCATCCAAAACTTACTATTACCATAGAATCATAGAGTAGTTTAGGTTGGAAGGGACCTTGAAGATCATCGAGTTCCAACCCCCCTGCCATGGGCAGGGACACCTCCCACCAGACCAGGTTGCTCCAAGCTCCGTCCAACCTGGCCTTGAACACCTCCAGGGATGGGGCAGCCACAGCTTCTCGGGGCAACCTGGGCCAGGGGCTCACCACCCTCACAGGGAAAAATTTCTTCCTAATATCTATCCTAAATCTCCCCTCTTCCAGTTTGAAGCCATTCCCCCTCATCCTATCACTATATGCCCTTGTAAAAAGTCCCTCTCCGGCGTTCTTGTAGGCCCCTTTTAGGTACTGGAAGGCGACAATAAAGTCTCCCCGGAGCCTTCTCTTCTCCAGGCTGAACACCCCCAACTCTCTCAGCCTGTCTTCGTAGGAGAGGTGATCCAGCCCTCGGAGCATCTTTGTGGCCCTCCACATGCTCCAAACGTTCACTTTAACCAACAAAAACAGGAAGGTGAAAGACACAGCAGAGGAGTCTGCTTAGGTGGCGCTATGGACACCTGAATTCTAACAATGAGAAAAGAGTGTGCTTATTTGGGGGTCGAGGGTTCCAGACGGACCAGTCCAGAGAAATCTTATTTGTATAAAAAAGCAAAATATGTTTGACAATAGCCAAGTAAAGCATTTTGTCAGGAGACAGTTCGGCCTGAATTAATTCAGCTACACGTTTTTCAAAAAACAGCTAAGCTGGACAGTTCTTCTTAGTTGTTAAAATGTTTAGGACAAGCCATTTCTTGACCTCGGTCACACATGACCATGTACATTATTTGCGCAGAGGAGAAAACTCAAGATTCCTGGAGCCCTATAGCTATCTTCTTCCAAAAAAGACTAGTGTGTACGCTGGTAAGCCAACCTGGGTGGTTCACCATCAGAGGAGGGAAGGGAAAGAACTCTAAACCGCCATGTTCACTTCCTATCCCAAAATATATTTATCTGTCAGAATACCAACCACAGCTTAAAGACAAATTTTTATGATGCTGTTTATGAGCGTGGCACTCAAATAAACCCTAACTTATAAACAGCTGGTATATAAACAAAACAGTAGTAATATATACATACATAAATATTAAGAGCATGTAAATTTGAATGTCCTCCACCTTAAGTTTCGTCCTAAATAAGAAAAGAAAATGGTGGCATCTAGAACGTATCAAACCCTGTTTTATGAAAGCAACACATTAGTAGTTGCTAACAACAGGAAAACAGGTCAACGTTGCCTCTTAGAGTACGTCAACAATACGTTGAACAATACTGCAGGCATCTAGGAAGAATGGTCTCAATGGTTCCACATCTTTTCATTTTTTCCTGGCTTTCGCGGCATTTCCCAAAACTCTTCATTGTTTTTCTAAATTAATTACACCCCTTTGAAACAGGGACAGTATTAGCATACCTCTTTAGTTAGTTATATTCAAATTCCTTTGTTCTTCAAGGTTCCTTTGAACCACTGGCTAGAATAAGCTTCAAGTCAGCTCTGGAGACTGTTAAATGAAGTAGAATTTATTACCGCTTACTTGGTCTTGGCAGGAGTGCGTGGGAGGGTTTCCTTACCACTTTCCCATCCTTTCACTGACTGCTGAAGGAAGACTTTCCAAACTACTCACTCATAAACTTGTTTTCTCCATCTGCTTTCTGCTTACCCCACAAGAGGCAAGTGGCTTCAATGGGGTATATAAGTTTGCTACTCAGAGTTGGGTTTTCTCAGCTTGCTGCAATGGCTTTTCAGTATATTAAGGAATTTAACACAATTCAGTAACCACAGGACTCGGTTATATACAAAGTACACAAAGTTACATAAATTATTACATTATTATTTTACAGCATCATCATAAATGCAGCTGGTTAAGAGGTTAGATTTAACCTAAGGCCCTTCAGCAGGTTATTTCCCAACATACTCCCAGTCCTAAAAACATCCTCATCATAAGACTACACAAACCTCAAGACAAATCCCTGTCTCTGTAAAGCTTATAGACAGCACTTAAGGGGGCAAACTGCAACTGGATTGGTCAAGTGCCACTAATTGTATCGTTGCTATTACCGTAACGCTGTTGTTTCTAAGTAAGATGCGATCATGGCTGCACAGACAATACCAAGACTACATTTCTGTGGATTAAAAGGCACATGGAACATATCCAGAGGGGAAACGGTAACCTATTAATTTTGAATATGTGCATATTTTTATTTTTGGAAGCAGTGCAAATTCTTTAAACTGAAAAATATTTGCATGTAAGGTGCCGACAATGGCATAGCCACAATTAAAATACCAATACAGAATTATGTAAAATAACGGGATGCTCTATTTTTACTGCTGCATAACTACATTTTCATCATAGCTGTGCCATTCTGAGCGTGCAGATACAGATCGCTGCAATACTTTCATTTATTAACACATGCTGCAAGAACTCTGCATGGTTAGTCCCTGTATGAATACCAACCAAATCATGTTAAGTAAATCATATCCAGACAATTGATATACAAATGAAATGTTACTGTGGAAATCTCTCGGCTCAATTTAGCCTGTTTGCAGGCTACTAAATCTCCTTCTTTATTTAGGGTCCTTATGCTCAGAAAAGTATTTTGCTACCAGGTATGAAGGTGTACACTCTTCTACGTGCAGTACATATTGTCTGTTTTCAGAGATTTTTTTTTTTTTTTTACCGGAGCCTCAGCAGACTGACAGTTACGCTGGGATCTTACGCAACTGAAGTCTGGGCACGCACGTCGATGTTGGCCGCAACGCCGCCCAAGGCTCACTGTAATTCATACCAGCGACCGCTGACACAACAGCTCATCATAACCATATTCCAGCATTGCAGAATAATACAACACACATATTGTACCTTGATCAAATATTTTTCCCATCTGTCTGCTGTGACAGACTTCCCAATCTTTCTCATCAGTTTCAAGTGAAGCTCCACCAATTCTTTTGGAACTGCAGTATTGAGAGAGGGAGAGAGGAAAAAAAAAAAAGTTATGAAGTCTGGTGCAAATATATTTCAATGCTAAACACTGATAACACTGAAACACTGTGATAAATTGAGAAATTTTATTAAAACATAGTAATTCAAAGCCTGATGAAAAGCAGCCCCACAACTGAGAGAAGGAAGAAGGTTAATTTAATCGCATGGGTCTTTTTGTTTAGATTTACATTTATGATGATCATTGATTGCCCTTCCTGTGCCCTTCCTTAAACTCAAGGAAACAGACCTCAGTGATAAATATGTAAAAGTTTTGGCAGCGTTAAAACAACAACTGGACAGGAACTACACCAGTCCAACACCTACAGAAATACCACAGCGAGCAGCACACCTGCAGCTGCCTCCACAAACCCCAAAGCCATCCTCTGCACCGTGCCTGGAATATTGCTGAATCCAAACTATTTTTGGCTGGGCGCGTGGTATGGGAGAAATGTTCCAGAAACTTTGTCCTCACAGACGTAGCTTTGTCATATACTTACTCTCTTTTGTAGTGGAGGGACAGAGAGGGACTCGAGATCTGGGCCTTGAGGGACAGAGGCCAGTACAGCTGCACCCATGCCATCATACAATTAAAGTTTTCCAACCAAATTTTACTTATTTCTCAGCGTCCACTCCTCAGATATAACTTCAACATCTCGTCTTAGCTCACGTCTGTGATTTATAAATCCATCTGGCACCACCAAGTGGCAAATTTGCAGAACATCAATTTTATAAGCTAAAGAGTAGTATAACGTTCTAAAAATATGTAACTGATAATTATTAATGCAACTCTACATGCCCAGTGACATGAGCTTGCGTATTTTAAGTTTTTCTAAACAAATTACAAAAAAATGACCTTTTCAAGTTATTTTTATTTCTATACTCTTTGCATACAATTTTATTTTCTGAAAGCATTTTCATTACTCTATGCACACACACTTTAAAAGTTTAAAACCCAAGAACGTTTATGATAATAATTTATAACTATGGTTTTCATGCTGGTCCAGTAGCATTACTTGGCACAGAATAAACAGCTGGGACACCAAATGTGTTTGTTCTAAACTAGACATTACTGAGATGCTATTTCTTTATACAACATTCTAGTATCTGTGTGAATCTTTCCAGTATTTAACTTGAATTCACCTAACTGATAATTACCTTTCAATCACATGCCTCTATTTTCAGGTGAACACGGTAGAGTACCAGTTTGATGAAAACGTTTGGGTCATTTCAGAATGTCCTGGTTTGAGGTAAGACAGAACCAATTTTCTGTTTGGTAATTTTACTTTGCAGCTAAGCCTCTTCTAACTAACTGAACTCTCTGAAATTAATAGCATATTTTTAAGACTGTAGTCCGCTCCCAGAGTGATAGGACCTGACTGTTTGTAGTTGATGCCAAGGAATGGTACACAGAGAGGCTCCTGCTTATACGTATTGCTCTCGCACCCAAGGGCAGCTAACTTTGTTATTCCATGCCATTGGAGGGTCGAAAGCGGAAAAGCGTAGAGGGGTCCCACCTGCAGGGAGGAGCAGACAGGACAGGCGACCCAAAACTGACCAACGGGGTATTCCATCCCATCTGCTTCATGCTCAGTATAAAAGCTGAGGGATCAAAGGGTCAGTCCTCTTTCTTCAACGGCTGACGTCTGAGGAGACTCTGTCTGTTCGTTTTGACAATTAAAAACCAGATGATCGTGCTTTCTCCTGACAAGTACTGTCACAACCCTGAACTGCAGCTCTCATTGATTCAGGCTCCGCTGAAACGGTAGTCTCTGCCTTTCATCGTGAGGGATGTTTCACACTGACCAAAAACCTGCTGCTTGTGGGAGCAGCTGGCTTCTGCGTGCACCTTCCTGCCCTGTAGGTCAGCACCTTCCTGAACCTCAAAAGAGACACAGAAATATATCTCTCGCAAACATTTCCCAAGCAACTACGAGGGCATCCAAAACTTACTATTACCATAGAATCATAGAGTAGTTTAGGTTGGAAGGGACCTTGAAGATCATCGAGTTCCAACCCCCCTGCCATGGGCAGGGACACCTCCCACCAGACCAGGTTGCTCCAAGCTCCGTCCAACCTGGCCTTGAACACCTCCAGGGATGGGGCAGCCACAGCTTCTCGGGGCAACCTGGGCCAGGGGCTCACCACCCTCACAGGGAAAAATTTCTTCCTAATATCTATCCTAAATCTCCCCTCTTCCAGTTTGAAGCCATTCCCCCTCATCCTATCACTATATGCCCTTGTAAAAAGTCCCTCTCCGGCGTTCTTGTAGGCCCCTTTTAGGTACTGGAAGGCGACAATAAAGTCTCCCCGGAGCCTTCTCTTCTCCAGGCTGAACACCCCCAACTCTCTCAGCCTGTCTTCGTAGGAGAGGTGATCCAGCCCTCGGAGCATCTTTGTGGCCCTCCACATGCTCCAAACGTTCACTTTAACCAACAAAAACAGGAAGGTGAAAGACACAGCAGAGGAGTCTGCTTAGGTGGCGCTATGGACACCTGAATTCTAACAATGAGAAAAGAGTGTGCTTATTTGGGGGTCGAGGGTTCCAGACGGACCAGTCCAGAGAAATCTTATTTGTATAAAAAAGCAAAATATGTTTGACAATAGCCAAGTAAAGCATTTTGTCAGGAGACAGTTCGGCCTGAATTAATTCAGCTACACGTTTTTCAAAAAACAGCTAAGCTGGACAGTTCTTCTTAGTTGTTAAAATGTTTAGGACAAGCCATTTCTTGACCTCGGTCACACATGACCATGTACATTATTTGCGCAGAGGAGAAAACTCAAGATTCCTGGAGCCCTATAGCTATCTTCTTCCAAAAAAGACTAGTGTGTACGCTGGTAAGCCAACCTGGGTGGTTCACCATCAGAGGAGGGAAGGGAAAGAACTCTAAACCGCCATGTTCACTTCCTATCCCAAAATATATTTATCTGTCAGAATACCAACCACAGCTTAAAGACAAATTTTTATGATGCTGTTTATGAGCGTGGCACTCAAATAAACCCTAACTTATAAACAGCTGGTATATAAACAAAACAGTAGTAATATATACATACATAAATATTAAGAGCATGTAAATTTGAATGTCCTCCACCTTAAGTTTCGTCCTAAATAAGAAAAGAAAATGGTGGCATCTAGAACGTATCAAACCCTGTTTTATGAAAGCAACACATTAGTAGTTGCTAACAACAGGAAAACAGGTCAACGTTGCCTCTTAGAGTACGTCAACAATACGTTGAACAATACTGCAGGCATCTAGGAAGAATGGTCTCAATGGTTCCACATCTTTTCATTTTTTCCTGGCTTTCGCGGCATTTCCCAAAACTCTTCATTGTTTTTCTAAATTAATTACACCCCTTTGAAACAGGGACAGTATTAGCATACCTCTTTAGTTAGTTATATTCAAATTCCTTTGTTCTTCAAGGTTCCTTTGAACCACTGGCTAGAATAAGCTTCAAGTCAGCTCTGGAGACTGTTAAATGAAGTAGAATTTATTACCGCTTACTTGGTCTTGGCAGGAGTGCGTGGGAGGGTTTCCTTACCACTTTCCCATCCTTTCACTGACTGCTGAAGGAAGACTTTCCAAACTACTCACTCATAAACTTGTTTTCTCCATCTGCTTTCTGCTTACCCCACAAGAGGCAAGTGGCTTCAATGGGGTATATAAGTTTGCTACTCAGAGTTGGGTTTTCTCAGCTTGCTGCAATGGCTTTTCAGTATATTAAGGAATTTAACACAATTCAGTAACCACAGGACTCGGTTATATACAAAGTACACAAAGTTACATAAATTATTACATTATTATTTTACAGCATCATCATAAATGCAGCTGGTTAAGAGGTTAGATTTAACCTAAGGCCCTTCAGCAGGTTATTTCCCAACATACTCCCAGTCCTAAAAACATCCTCATCATAAGACTACACAAACCTCAAGACAAATCCCTGTCTCTGTAAAGCTTATAGACAGCACTTAAGGGGGCAAACTGCAACTGGATTGGTCAAGTGCCACTAATTGTATCGTTGCTATTACCGTAACGCTGTTGTTTCTAAGTAAGATGCGATCATGGCTGCACAGACAATACCAAGACTACATTTCTGTGGATTAAAAGGCACATGGAACATATCCAGAGGGGAAACGGTAACCTATTAATTTTGAATATGTGCATATTTTTATTTTTGGAAGCAGTGCAAATTCTTTAAACTGAAAAATATTTGCATGTAAGGTGCCGACAATGGCATAGCCACAATTAAAATACCAATACAGAATTATGTAAAATAACGGGATGCTCTATTTTTACTGCTGCATAACTACATTTTCATCATAGCTGTGCCATTCTGAGCGTGCAGATACAGATCGCTGCAATACTTTCATTTATTAACACATGCTGCAAGAACTCTGCATGGTTAGTCCCTGTATGAATACCAACCAAATCATGTTAAGTAAATCATATCCAGACAATTGATATACAAATGAAATGTTACTGTGGAAATCTCTCGGCTCAATTTAGCCTGTTTGCAGGCTACTAAATCTCCTTCTTTATTTAGGGTCCTTATGCTCAGAAAAGTATTTTGCTACCAGGTATGAAGGTGTACACTCTTCTACGTGCAGTACATATTGTCTGTTTTCAGAGATTTTTTTTTTTTTTTTACCGGAGCCTCAGCAGACTGACAGTTACGCTGGGATCTTACGCAACTGAAGTCTGGGCACGCACGTCGATGTTGGCCGCAACGCCGCCCAAGGCTCACTGTAATTCATACCAGCGACCGCTGACACAACAGCTCATCATAACCATATTCCAGCATTGCAGAATAATACAACACACATATTGTACCTTGATCAAATATTTTTCCCATCTGTCTGCTGTGACAGACTTCCCAATCTTTCTCATCAGTTTCAAGTGAAGCTCCACCAATTCTTTTGGAACTGCAGTATTGAGAGAGGGAGAGAGGAAAAAAAAAAAAGTTATGAAGTC